TATAATTTTTAAAATTATAGAATTAAAACTGATTGAGATATTTACCTTATGACAAGACTTATAAATCACCCCACGTAACAAGTGTTGGTATTGGACAATGTCTAAATAAATTTAATTGGACTATGTCAAATTTGTCCAATTAATTCAAATAATTTTTTGGGACCATTAGACATTGGAATAAATTATAAAGTTAATTGGACATTTGTCCAATTGTATTAATTGAACATAGAGTTTGGATCAGGTCATCCGTTTTCATATTAATTTAACGGATATCGATATCCGACGATTTTACTATTAAATTTGTATCCAATAGATAACCGGATCCAAACTCTAATTGAACATATATCCAATTATCCAATAATTTATTGGTGCTAAATAGTAATTTTAGATCATCCAAAAAAACCAGGATAATGTGTCAAAGCTAAAATGTTCTGTTATTTTACGTTATTTGTAAATTTGAAAATAATGTATGCTTATTTTGCAGTTGATAAACCACTTATTTTCTTTATATAATAAATCTTTCAGAAGAGCCCAGAATGACTTATATTAAATTCGCAGCCAAATAAAGTTATTGGTTGCGTAACATACAATAACAATGTTATCTGGTGGTCAAGCTTGCAAAATGTCTCGAGCTTTTTGGCAAACACTTTCACAGTAAGATACTAATAAACCATTTTTATGTCCAATTAAATTATTTGACTGTCCAAATGTCCAATATTATGATATGTCATTTCTGAGAATAAAGGTTATATCATATATAATAATTAAATTTAATATTTAAATTCTAGCGTAAGAATTGCTGTTTAAAAAACAATAATATAACTTATAAGCAATTTTAACGTTAGAATTGCAATTTAAGAAATAGAAATACAGCGAGTACAGCATAAGAATAGCCAATCAAATCGAGAATCTGCCGTGACAGTTTATATAATAGGCTGCGGATTTTATAAATAAAATGATAATCAATTTTTTTAACACAAGTTTGTTACGATGGTATTCAACGAATTGGATCCAAGAATTTCTCGAGCATTATCGAAGCTTAACTTTCATAAACCAACTTTAATACAAGCTGAAGCGATTCCATTAGCGTTGGCCGGTAAGGACATACTGGCGAGGGCAAAGACTGGGAGTGGTAAAACAGCAGCCTATTGTCTACCAGTTATTCAAAAGATATTAAATATTAAAGAGGCGAGTCCACTTTAATGTTTCCTTGAGTCATTATTTGAATTTCTACGGTTTTCGTAGAATATTCCAGTATTGGCCGATGACCTAAAACATACCATTTTTTTTGATATGACCTTGGTCATATTATTATATGACTTTTGGTTATAGGTCATATAGTCATATTAAATGCTATTGAAAAAAATTTTTTACTATGATTCTTACTATATTATAAAGCCATAAAGTCATATCAACCTTCGTTATGACCAAATGACCTAATGACAGGTCATATAGGTCACCTAAGGCCATCAGCCAATATTAGAACATTCAGAAAATGCACAATTACATACAATATTTTTGAAATTTATAATAATCTACGCGGAGATTTTGTAAAGACTGACTTTATCGAATTTAACTACAAGGCCATACCTGAATCTTCACCGGATCGTGCTGCAATCCGATCTCTTATTTTAGTTCCAACTCGAGAACTTGCTGAACAAGTTACAAAACACATTAATGATTTTCTAACATACTGCTCTAAGGAAATAAAAGTAGTCAACATAGCAAATACCACACCAGTGCAATTGCAAAGGTGAGTAAATGACTATCATATTAGCCTTTCTTTCAGTAAGATTTTCAATTTAAATCTTTTCCAACATCATATTTTATATTTGAAGACCAATTTTATCAGAATTGCCTGATATAATTGTTGCAACTCCTAGCCGTGCATTAGCACATCTTGATTCACAAGTTTGTCTTCTTTCTATTCAAAGATTTCTGTTTAGTCTGTTGTTCATATGTATGCTTTAAATTTATACATTTACTATAATCCAAAGAATATCGTTGTTCGTGACACACTTGATTCTCTCGTCATTGACGAAGCAGACCTTGTATTGTCGTATGGCTATGAAGATGATGTACAGAAAATATTGACATATTTACCAAAGATTTTTCAATGCTTTCTAATGAGTGCAACTTTAACGAAGGTATTTATGTTTCTTATTCTTTCCATGGTTCAAAACGAATCATTTTTATTTTGATTATTTATTATCCACTGATATTCTATCTTTTAGAATGTTGAAAATTTGAAACAATTATTGTTGAGTAATCCTGTAAGTTTACAGTATATTCTTGTATGAAGTGATAAATTTTTATAGGTTTGAAATAATAGTAAATAATAGTGATTCATCCTAAATTAAATCAGGCTATTTTAACATTGCATGAAGAAAAGGATGAAATTAATCTTACACAATATTGTGTGCGGTAATTAATTTTGATTTGATTGCGTTCATTAATCACTATTGCATTTAATTAACATTTATTATTTATTTAATATAGGTGTTCTGAAGTTGACAAATTCCTTTTAATATATGTCATCTTAAAACTTCGTCTGATTAAAGGCAAATGTATTTTATTTGTTAATGATATCGACCGATGTTATCGTTTAAAATTATTTTTGGAGCAATTCTCGATCAAAACTTGTGTTTTGAATTCAGAGTTACCTTTAAATTCCCGGTGGGTAAACATTTTCATTCTGTAAATGATAATGATCACGAACTTATTTATTTTTATTTGTAGATATCATATTGTTCAAGAGTTCAACAAAGGAATTTATGATTACATTATCGCAACAGATGAAAGTGATTTAAAGGCAGATAATGACACTGACGACGAGGCTATTGGAGAACATGATGGTAGAGATTATCAATAATATTATTCAATACTTGAATATCACCAAGTATAATTATTAAAACTTATTATGTATTACAAGAGACGAAAACTTCTGATAACAAGCGTGATAAAACCCACCTACGAAAAAAAGACAAAGAATACGGGTCATCTCGTGGTATTGACTTCATTAATGTAACAGCAGTTATAAACTTTGATTTTCCAACGTCAGCAAAATCCTACACCCATAGAGTCGGGCGAACCGCACGTGCTTCTCAAAAAGGAATGAGTCTAAGTTTTGTTGTTCCAAAAGAACTTGCGGGAAAACACAAAGTTGTATCATGCCTATCGGCAAAGCATGATGAAGAGGTATACGCTAGAGTAGAGAAGCAACAATCATTAGCAGGTGCGACTTTAAGACCTTATTTTTTCGATATGAAGCAAGTGGAAGGATTTCGGTATCGTGTGGAAGATGCCATGAGAGCTGTTACACGTACTGCAATTAAAGAAGCGCGATTGAAAGACATTAGATCAGAAATTTTAAAATCAGAAACATTGAAGGTAGTAACTAATAATATTGTTACGGCTGATGTTGACTTCTTGGCTTTTAATTTGAATCTATTACACCTATTAGAGCTCACTTATACTCTTTATTAACAATCCTAAATCCTAATTCTAAAATAGAAAGATGGGCACAAAAATTTCAAACCTTTGCTAAAGTAGGCACAAAAGTCAGCATCGCCAAAATCAGCATTAGCCGTAACAGTAAATAATGTACATGATGTCGTTGTTTATATTATTATAGGAAAACTTTATCTTCTTTACATTGTCAACTTTTGTTTAGACACATTTCGAAGATAATCCAAATGATTTAAAAGCTCTTCGTCATGACACAATAATTCATCCTACACGTGTACAACAACATATGAAACATATTCCACCATATCTCATGCCAAAAATTGCGACACCCGCAGCTAACGTGTCAGCGGACTCTGCCCATGTAAATGGAGAATCTGCGGAATCAAACGAATACGTTCCATTTCGCAAACAATCTACTAACAAACGTTATCATGGCAAGAAGTTGTTTAAAGGCAAATTTGGCCCAAAGGTACATTGTTATAACAATATGATTATTGGCGGATCGAAAGATCCTTGAAGAAGCTCTAACAAGCGTGCCCTGAAATTGAACAACGAAATAGA